ATCGTCAGTATTCACATAGATGCTTCCCATCCTCACAGCTTTGGTATTTTTGCAGTCCAGAACATCAGCGCTTGCGCTATCGATGCACAACTTGCACACATTGGCAGGGAGACCTTTGCAGTGCTGCGGCAAATTCCATGCTGTGTGGAAACAATTGTATATCATGACTACTGCGACTCGGACGCTAAAAGCTTTTCTAGCGTGGCGGGTGCGTTGGAAATTTTGAGCCCCGGGTTCGCAATGGTTCGCAATGCACTCTCTCAGGTGACGTTGACGTTTTCAACGCGGTACAGTATTTCGTTTCTGCTGGAGTCCTAGCTTTTCGCAGCTTGTCCCGAACTGATAGAAGGATGACAGGTTCCTTGGAATTCACCTACAACTAACTAGACAGCGTGGCCCGAAAGCAAAGTAGGACTGAGGGTCTAACGGGCGCTTAAGAGAGAAAACAATTGACGGCACCTCAGCGGCGCCGCCCAGGCTCTAAGGCGCGCGCAGGCAGCTCTTTCTCCTCGCCATCTGGGAAAGCTAGCGTTGCGTCTTGATGTCTAGCACTCATTCACTGAGAGGGGTTTGGACACGTAATGGATGGCGATGACGATGATAGTGATGATGTTAAAGGTACAGATGATGATGATGATGATGATGATGCTGATGATGATGATGATGATGATGATGAAGTTGGTTCCTGCTCTTCTTCGCAGGTGCCCACCAAGGTTTTCCAACGCGCCACACAAACGCCTTTTCCACCGAGGCGACACCCAAACGCATGGCGTAGCAATATCAAAGACGGAATTTGGGATTCCAAGCTTGGTTGACGCCACAAACCCTCCCGCTCACTAGTAACGCTGCGTCTACACGCGCGTGCGTCCTGTTCTCAAACGGCGCCGCCACACACACACACACACACTTTCTTGTCAAACCTTCAAACAGCATGGCACAGCGACGTCAAGGACGCAAACCATCCTGCTCACCAGCAACACGCCGCATTTACACATATTTCTACGGTGCGAAACCACGCAACACACTTTCCACCGAGGCCACATCAACCCGGATGACCCGCAAACCTCAACAAAAACAATGGGAAATGGTTTCACTGCACAGTAGTCCCCAAACCACATTTGCACTTGTTTGCCCAACGCTAGGAGGTATTCCCCACCGTACACTACATGTCTATGGCGCGCGACGTTTGCCTTGCAAAGTTGGGAATTCCAGAGCAGGGCTAGCTAGACTCTCAGAACAAGCCACACTTTGATCGCCAAACTCGCGCTTTACCACCACCTCAGACACTTGGCGCGAAATCCTGCAATGGCAAAGAGTTTTTGGGCGAACCAAAATCACACCACGCACTCGACACGCGCGCCCACGCCAAATTTGCATTCTAACGTCGAAGTTGTATTTTGCGCAAGCACATATAGACGCCTATCTAGCGCGCCTACGTCTATACACCTACATCTTGACACGGAGATTTCTAGGCAGCCTTGATGATGATGATGATGACGCCGACAGATTTCTACCCACAAATATCGACGCACCGTTTGGGCACATGGTGCTGACGATGAGAGCTATGATGTAGAAGATGACGGTAGTTGTTCTTCAAGGCGAACTCTTCGCAGGTGCTTGTAGGAAAAAGAAGGGCAGTGATTCATCCAGAAACAGGGAGAAACATGAGACTGGCTAGCCACAGATACAGCCTACCACGTGATAGAGCAGATGTTCACTTTCATGTTGTAAAAGAAGCGCATTGTCTACATTGTAGTTTCGCCTGGTTATCGCCCTGAAATGGCATTGGCAGCCGTTGCACCAAAACAACGCTGCCCCCAATCTTGAAAATGCCCATGGATTCTGTTTGTGCTCTTTGTCACGATTGCAGGCACCAGCATCGGGATGCGAAATTGGGTGGCGCCTTGGTGTCGCGATGGCCGTCCGGAAGGTGCAGCCATGCGGGTTTTGCGCCACACCGACAAGTTTCACGAGAGATTGGAAACACTCTACCAGTGGCTTGGAGCAGCGTGAAGCTAATGTAAACCTTTCAATAAGGCCTTTTTCTCCAATACCCCTGCGCTGATTTCGAAGCCGGAAAGCCCGTCAAAAGTCCTTGGTGCTCAGACCGGCGTTATCCATACAGAACATAGTAAATTATTGCTTCCTTTCCCAAGTTCATTGTCATTCTGAAAGACGCGGCTATTCCGGTTTGCGTGGCGACGGGTTCTAGTTTAACTTTGGGGGTGTGAGGGTAGCGCGCTGTCCACGCGATGCTGTTTCCATGTCCGCAACCGTCCGCAATCTTTAGAATGTGTCGACAACGCTGCGCCATTGCGGGAAGTTTGGAGGAGAAATAGCATGGAAGTGTAACATGTGGTGTCCCATTGGGATTTACCCTTCACGTTGTTGCCTCAACACTGTGTTTCGTGACAAGCCTCAGCCAAAAGCGCGATTTCGGTTGACGCGAGCGTGCTCAGGATGGTGCACCAAGATGCGATGTAGCAAAAATGTAACGCCGTTTCGTGGCAGCTGCGCGGATTGGAGTGTAAAGTTTTCTTTTTGTGGGAAGCAGCAGGCGCAGGGAATCGTGAGGTTGTGACGTTTAACAGCTTGGCAGGGATGCTTGACTCGCTTTGGGGGGTTGACGCTTCACTTTTGGAGAAAGTCTTGCACGAAACACTCGTTTCGAGACTTGACGCATGACTTTTGGAGGAAGTCTTTGTGGAGACTTGACGCATGAATTCTCCGAGGGAGCGTGGGCTTTGGAGGGTACCAGAGTCGTACAAGAGCGCCCGTCCCACAAGAGCGGGTGCCCCACAAGAGTTTTCCACAAGAGCATGCGCGAGCCTCGTCTGGCTTTCCCGACAAGAGTGCCCACAAGACTATGCCACAAGACTATGCCACAAGAATGCCCTACAAGAGTGCTGCAGAAGAGTGCCCCACAAGAGCGTCGCGAAAGTGCCCCACATGAGTTTCCCGGAGGGCCCTACAAGAGCCCCACAAGAGCATACGCCACAAGATCGCCCCACAAAAGCGTCAGACTCTTTGGCCGCTTGTTCTTGAACGCGTGTGTGCATTTGGTTGGGCTCGTGGGCCTCTCTGTTTGGGAGCAACACCAATATGTTGTTGTGGCCAAAGCCATCAGAGGCATTTCTTGTCACCGACAAGCCTCGTCAATGACTGGACACAGGCGACGCCTTGCCCAGAGACTGAACGGAACTACATGGTTTCTTTTTACAACTCTCAACCAGCGCTTTCTCTTCACTTTGGCCTTCAGCCCTGCTGCTTCTTCACTCAGCTATTTGACCCCGATCCAACGGGCTCTTGCCAAGCCAGGCGCGTACCCAAATCTCCGCTGCTGATGCTCAAAGCATGGACTGCCCCCAACTTAAAGCAAACGGTTTTTCGTCCAAGCGGGTCATCGTTTCATGACGGGGCGGCCCTTACAAGTCGGAAGTCGGCACAAGAGTTGGTTCTAAGGTGACCGATGGAAGATTGAGGAAGGTACTTGCACTCGGCAGTGCAAATATAGGGCGCATTCCCAGCCCCAGGAATTTGCTCTTATTGGCGGTCCCAATATTGGATGAGTCGGGGTGACTTCGGCCTTGACAATCTGATCAAACTTGATAGAATTTTGAGCTAAGGCCGCCGTTCAGTCAAAAGCCTGTTTCTTGTGCTTGTTGCTTTGTCGGATGTCGGTTTATTGAAGCCCACTCATAGACAGCTTACGCTCAAGCATTTGCCAACCGTTTGGGTTTTGAGAAACAGCACGCAAGCGGACTAAGAGGAAAAGGACACATGATTTTGAAAGGCCGGCGTCGCGAATATTTAAGTTTGGAAACAAAAACAAACCAACCCCGACGCAAAATCGGCTTTGGGGCCCTGCTGGTAGCTTTGTCCTTGTCCCATGCTTGGGCAGAGCTTGATCGCGATCTGCAAACAATGTCTTTGCAAGTCGAAAGATCGGGTGGCCAAAAACCTATGGTGGCAGTCGGTTTCCGCTGGACCGACCAATTAGGGAGCATGCTTGACGACTTCCTGCACGTGGGCTCATCAGCAAAGTGAAGCAACTGGTAGATCACTGTTTCGGGCACTAAAGGACAATTGATAAACACGCGTGATCTGGAACATCCTAACCTCAGACACTTCGAGTAGGCAATGTGATAACAGCTCGGATTCACGCAGACGCTGTAAAAAGTCTTGCGCTGCAAAAAGGGGGTGTGGTGTGTTTGAAAGATCTTTTGCACAGCACGCCCACCGCGTGGCATTGCCCAACTCAAGAGCTCCAGGCAGTTGCAAAGGCTTCTCGGTGAAGCTTGTTGCACGCGATTGCTGGTAGCCATTGTTAACCGGTTGCGGGATGGCTGGTGGGTCATGAAAGGTTTTTTTTTCATCAGTGGACAACAACAGTTTCAGGTGCAATGGTGTCGAAATACTCTTTGTCCCCGCGCAGCTGCATTTTGCTTTCATCCGAGATGTTTGGAAACTGTTTTTTTGGGGTGACCGGTCTCCATTAACAGCAGACGCTAAAGTGGCATGAAATCAAACAACAACGTGTCAGAAATGCGCTTCCATGCCGGGGCTAATCACGCGCTGGGGAGTGTGAGGCAGCGCCATTTGATGAAGACGATGCTTCTTGTCACTGCGCCAGCCAATGCCAATGGAGTCGCTTGGATTGTCAAATTGCTGGGGAGGGGGGCGACGTATGCGCTCCGAAGCGGTTTCCGTATGAGCGCCACAATACTCTGGCTACATCTGTTTGGTCAAGTTGTTTGGCATCATTTGCTTGCCATTTGTGGCTGTGTGCCAACCATGTCAGGAAACGTGGTGGATTGTTTGAGTATGCGGGTCTTGAGCGTCTTTGAGAAATAAGGGTTGCTTTGAATAGGTCCAGCGGCTAGGGCCATGGTCTTTTGACAATAATGTTTGGAAGCGAGAACTTGCATTTTCTTTTGGTCATACTTTGATCTTTTGAATCGACACCTCTCGCTTTTCTTTGCGATTAACTTCACTGTGGGGTGTTGGCTACGCCGGATTCTGGAGAATTCGGATTTGATTCCCGACAGGTAGTCTGAAAACACCTAACATCCAACCAAGGCAGCAAGCTCGTCGACTTGCGCGACTGACTGTGAATCTTGTAATATATCGATAAATGTATTTTATGAATAATCTTCGATATATCCTTGCGATAAATATAATATTTTCCTTGATATGAAATGAAATGGAAGTTTTTTAGATTTAGTAGCCCGAAAGCATTTTTCATCACGTAGGAAGTCAGAGTGCGAGTTATCTGTTAAGTGTGCAGTGTGAAGTGTTAAGTTGAGTGAGTTGAGGTAGTGTGTGGGTCTCTGTGTGTGTATCTATGTCCGTGTGTATATGAGTCTCTGTCTGTGTGTGTCCGAGTAAGTTGAGGTAGTGCGTGGGTCTCTGTGTGTGATGTGTGTGTGTGTGTATGAGCCCTGTCTGTGTGTGTATGTTTATGTCTGCTGCTGGTGAAGGTCTTTATTATATATATAGTGAACGAATTAGCGCGTAGGCCTCCTAAATCTCCTATCGGCCTCTAAGCGGTAATAGCTTAACTTATCGTCGTGAGCGTTGCTGGTAAGGGGAGAAATAACGTATATGTTTCTAGGAAATCTCACTGAAAAAAGCAAGTCGGAATGAAGCATATTAAAGTTGTATTATAAAGTCGCTAGTTTTTATTTTTTAGCTCCCTAGATTGCTCCGCGTATTGAAGTTTTATTATTAAATTGCTAATTCTTATCTTTTAACTCCTTAGATATTCCGCATATTTAAGTTGTATTATTAAGTCGCTAGTTTTAATTTTTCCCCGGATATTTCGCGTATTAAAGTTATATTATAAAATTATTGTATTATTAAGTTATTAATTTTTAGCTTTTTATTTCCTTAGGTATTTCGTATATTAACGTTATATTATTAAACCGCTAGTTTTTATTTTTTAGTTTCCTAATTTTTTTATGCGTTATAATTGTATTATAAAATCGCTAGTGATTATTTTTTAATTTATTAAATATTTTACGTATTTAAGTTATATTATTAAATCGCAAATTCTTATTTTTTTATTCTTTAGCTATTTCGTATATTAAAGTTATATTATTAAATCGCTCGTTAATTTTTATTTTTCTATTCTTTAATTATTTCGCGTATTAAAGTTATATTATTAAGTCGTTAATATTTATTTTTTTAATTTTTTAATTATTTTATATAAAATATAAAAAATAATATATAATAATTTTTAAAAACATCGTAATTTTTATTATAATAAAAGACTTCATTTTTATTTATTTTATATTTATATGTTTTTATAAAATATTTTGTCTCTCGTCGTTTGTCGTCGTTTATCATCGTCTTTCGTTGTTTATCGTCGTCGTCGCGTCTTAAATTTGTTGCTATTGGGGGAAGCTTTTGCAAGTGATTTTGCATGGACGTGTTACGTCTCAGTTTGCGCCCCTATTCCATTGTGATTTGCATGACCAGGATATGTCGTGTAAGAAACGTGATGCATTTCGTTGCACAGGCGTAGCGTTTTGTGAGATCCGCAGATTGCTGCGCAGTTCCATTGGGATTAGCGTTTGGAGAATCGTGTTTTTGGGATGTTGGATGTGGCCGTGCCATTGGAATTTGCGTTTCAGGGTGTGGCATCGAAACTCGGTTTTCGTGACAAGTCTTAGCTGAAATGGCGATTTTGGTGGATGGGAGTGTGCTCAGAACGGGTCGAAATCATTCCAAATGTGTGGGGTGGTGCAAATTTTGTTAAAGCTCACATGAGATGATATTGTCACTTTTCGTGGCAGGCGCAGGACTTTGTGTGGGTTTTGAGGCTTGGAAGTGCGATTCTCGTGGCAGGCGCAGGGAATCGTTAGGTTGCGAAATGTGACGGAGGTGACATTTCGTGGCAGGCGCAGTATTTTGTGCGCGTTAGACGTGTGGACGCGGAAAGATTCGTGGCAGGCCCAGGGAATCGTGAGTTTGTGAGTTATGGTAAAGGTGAATGTCGCTGTCACATTGGGATTGGCGTGTGAGCGGATGTTGTTTGGAGGGGGTGGAATCGCGAAATTGCTTGGCAGGGCTGCGTGATGTGTGTGCTCCGATGGGTGTTTCCGCTTGACTTTTGGAGGAAGTTTCGTACAAAACGTGCGTTTTGCAGATTTTGACGTGTGAGTTTTTGAGGAAGTCTCGTACGAAACGCTCGTTTTGGACACTTGACGCGCAACTCTCTGCGGAGATCATGCACGTCGAGTGCGCGAAATGCAGGCGAGAGCGCGATTTGTCCCATGCGCACGCAACCCTCTGTGGAGATTGTGCGTGCCGAGTGCGCGAAATGCAGGCGAGAGTGCGATTTGCCGGCTTCCCGCGACACCCTCTGCGAAGATCGTGCGTGTCGAATGTGCGAAACGCAGGCGAGAGTGCGATTTCTCCCGTGCCCGCGCAACCCTCTGCGGAGATCGCGCGTGTCGAGCGCGCGAAATGCAGGCGAGCACTGGCGACTTTGTAGTAAACTTTAGTACGCGGGGTATGGAGCTGTAAGACGAGAACTGGTGACTTGATAGTACAACTTGAAGCTGGAAGCTGAGAACTGGTGACTTTGTAGTACAACTTTAGCAACTTTAGTACGCGGAGCAATCTGTAGAGCTGGAAGCTGAGAACTGGCGACCCACAAGAGTGTCCCACAAGAGTGTCCTACAACAAGAGTTTCCTACAAGAGTGACCCACAAGAGTACAAGAGTTCAACAGTGTCCGACCAGAGTGTCTTACAAGAGTGTCCTACAAGAGTGTCCTACAAGAGTGTCCCACAAGAGTGTCCTGTAAGAGTGACCTACAAGAGTGCCCCAGAAGAGTGTCCCACAAGAATCTCCGACAAGAGTGTCCCACAAGAATCTCCGACAAGAGTGTCCCACAAGAGTTTCCTACAAGAGTGACCCACATGTACAAGAGTGCAACAGTGTCCGACCAGAGTGTCTTTCAAGAGTGTCCTACAAGAGAGTCCTACAGGAGCGTCCCACAAGAGTGTCCTGCAAGAGTGTCCCAGAAGAGTGTCCCACAAGAGTCCTACAAGAGTTTCCGACAAGAGTGTCCCACACGAGTGTCTTACAAGAGTGTTCCAGATAAGAGTCCCACAAGGGTGTTCTGCAAGGGTGTCCCACAAGAGTGTCGGATCAGTGCCTGAGGTCGAGGACGGATACCATGCACCCCGCACTGGCCTCGGGCCGTTGGGCTTGGGGGAACCAGCGAAGAATAATCCAGGTGCCGCAGTTTGGGCCGCCCCCAACGAATAACAGTAGCCCCGCAACAGCAAGGGAGCACAGATGGTTCCAAAGCGGGGCCTGGAGCATATCCTGGCCGAGGGGCCCTTTGTCTCTTCGAATGTCAATCGCCCAAACCAGCGGCGAGAGGTCTGGGCAGATCGCATGGAGGTCGGAGTCCAACGAGCCCGCATCATCCTTGCCGGCATGGAGAAAGAATGGTTAGTTTTGTCTCTGGTGGAAGTGGGACCCATGTCCAGTGGAGGGGCTGCCGAAGTCTGTCCGGGATGTATGTCATCCATGTGAAGGACGGTTCAACCTGAGGAGTGGTGCTCTGAGTCCCCGACAGGTGCCCAGCCGGTCCCGGCGAGATGCCATGTCCTCAGTGGGCCGAGAGGCGGCCTCAGTGTGAAGTGCTACAGTGGATTGCTTCAAGATCACTGCACTATCCAAGCTGGCTTGCCAGGTGTGATCGATCACCACATGACATCATTGTCGCCCAGCAAACGGGATGGGGTGTGACAAGTGAATGGAATACCCCCCCAAAACATGGGGCTGACAGGTATGCTTCATTTCTCGTGATGGTTCGTGCAGCCCTGATCTCACGAAAAGCCATCTTGGTTGCACACCACATCCCAGCAGGATCATGCAGGTGCGATTGCAATTGTACCTCCCTCAGGACTTCTATCAACATGGAAATACCAATTGGCTGTCATGGGGCTGTCACGTTTTTGATCGAGCTCAGTTTCCTGTTATGCCATGGACCCGCTGAGGGGGGGACCGGGCAAACCCCACGAGAACACCAGTCCCTGATTCCCCCACCAAGGTGTCCTCCAGAGCCATCCTTCGAAGATGGCCTGATGCGGGAGGGGTCGGATAGGAGACCCGCGGGCAGGGGATCTGGCGACGACGCTGTGCCCATGGCTGGCTTGTTCGAAAGGGCACCTCTGCAGGATACAATGCTTTATTTGCACACATAGCGAGTCCAGTATCCAAGGATCGAAAAGATGCTTGAGGTGAAGGGGTGTCATGGATAATGATCGGGCTCACGCACTCTCCTGACGCGGGAGGCAACCCTCACACCCGGGATGGTGTCGTCTAGCACAAAAAGCTCATGTGGGTCCATTCTACCTGGACTTGGGACCAGGCTTTGCAATCTTTGAGGTTCAAAAACGATGAGGAGCGACACAATGGGGCTAGGCATGCTGCGGACACGCAAAAGCAACTCATGGAACGAAAGTGGAAAAAAAAGCCACGCCCGACGCTTCCGTTCTTGATCTGCAAATGACGCTTATCCGATAGGAAACACCACCTAATAGAATTAAATGGCCCTCGTCCACTATCCCTTGAGCTTCGCATAAACAAATCAGACAGTGTAGCCGGACCAATAAACGGAACAGATTTCAAAACTTCTCTGGGAAGGTGCTGATTTGGCTGTGAAGCACCAGTCGTTGGACTTTGTTCGCTGAATCAAAACGCTCTGTCCCAAGAAACGGCATCAGCGAATCCACATGTTTGATGGTCATGAACAACCACATAGCCCGCAACAAAAGCTTAACGAACTTGCTCAGTACGTTGGGACGCTGTTTCATGATCTGGACTTTCAACCACGGATCCTGCGCGCACTTCAGGTCTTTGCCATTCGATACTGTTGTCCCCCACAAACACAAAAAACTCATAGAAAGTTAGTGGGTGAGATTTTGGCCACTCGAGGGATTCGTCAGGGATCAAAAAAATGGTCCGATTCCTTTGGACTCTTTGTATGCACTTGGTGCTCACCGATCTGGCGGCTCGATACTCGTACCAGTGGATTTACGAACATAAAACAATTTGTGCGGACAACGTGCATTTGCAATGGCGCACAAGTTGGCCTCACTGCCCTGTCAGAC